AATATACAGGTTTGTGGGTTATAATAATTGGCTTATCAGAGCGTCGGTAGACGCTCTCTATGTAGGGATGACACGAGAACCCAATCTCATCCACTGAGATGGAGAACTCAGAACCCAATCTCATCTACTGAGATGGAGAACTCAGAACCCAATCTCATCTACTGAGATGGAGAACTCAGAACCCAATCTCATACACTGAGATGGAGAACTCAGAACCCAATCTCATCTACTGAGATGGACACTATCTCATCAGCTACTGAGATGGAGACTCAGAACCCAATCTCATGAGATGTTCTTCACGCGGCTGAATTTGCTTGTTTCTGAATGGTATGCATAGTTGGGCCTTCACTGAAGGCTTCATCGTGGATATTATCATGGATTTCCGAAGTGCAATCGATATTTTTCTGTGTCAGTCTGCTACGTGCGATCACTCACAACAACTTTCAACTTTTCCCGCAGTCGGACGAAACGTAACCTTCAAAGGGGGTAGTTTAGAGCGTAGACTCGCCATTCTCTCAGCTTTTCTCTCTAACCAGTGCAGCTAAAACACTAGAGCCTGAGAGGGCTATATCGAGCTCCAACCTGGGGCGAACTCTAAGCGCATGCGTAAGCTGACAACATGAACAGCGTACGAAGGGGGTTAAAAACAGAAACTAAATGCGTCGCTTGTTGATACCGAGTTTCGAACTATTTCATACGCGCGTGATGGACAAAGTTTCAGAACCGGGTGCGGGACTAGGGGGCGTTGCACGGATACAAGGTAAACACACCAACAGAGCCGATCAGCTCTTCTCTCCACGGGCTCTTACAGTCTTACAGATGGCGGAAGGTGGGGAATTGCAGAGGGTGAATATGCTGTATAATGTTGTTAGTTGCTTGCGCATCCCCAGATTTTTATGGCATCCCTATATTCCACACTTTTTTATTTACTTGTTGTTTATTGTGTTGGAGGCATGTTGACCCAGGCGCTCTTTATCCCGCACGGACTACCACACTACCGCGCTAACACTGCCGGTTCTATAACTCGGGTGTGTTCCCCCGATTGTGCAATGGCCTTTGCCCATGAAGGTGAGCGCTAACATGAGTGTGTGTGCTCAGTCCATGCACTATTATTGTGCGCTTGGGTGGCATGCTGGAGTCGGTATCCGCCCAAGAATGCCAAGTATTTAACGGCGCCTCGTAGGCGGTGCCGCGAGACTAGAGGGGGGCGTTGCACGGATACAAGGTAAACACACCAACAGAGCCGATCAGCTCTTCTCTCCACGGGCTCTTACAGTCTTACAGATGGCGGAAGGTGGGGAATTGCAGAGGGTGAATATGCTGTATAATGTTGTTAGTTGCTTGCGCATCCCCAGCGGTCGACGAGACGTTGAAATCAGACGACGTGTCGGAAAATGTTGGACGAGCTTGTGGAGGCGCAGAACCACTCCAAAGTGCTCAGGGTCAAGCTATTGCCGCCACACGAGGTAGAGGCGATTCACCGCCAATACCAGGATCCCAAAGAGCGCCTGCTGCACATTCTTCTTGCCTTCACGAGGCAAATCCAGCCCAGACCGACATGGAGGGTCATTGTGGAAGCTCTCAAGAGTCCTTCTGTCAACCTACCAGCACTAGCTGCGAAAGTAGAAGCAGCTCATTTCCCTGACTCTACCGCAACACATGATGTGGTACCTGAGACTACTACTGGTATGTTACGATCAGCTCCACTCATAGTTCTCTTGCTGGTTGGTTTAGCTGGTAATGTCTCTATCATCTCAGACACCACAGAGTCTGCAGCCAACACTACTGCTGGTGATGACGAGGTAAAATCTAAGCCACCACCTCAACTGAACCCTGCTAATAGTGAGGGTTCAGGTGTGTTGGTTTGTGTGTAGGTGTGCAAGGTTACAATTGAATATTACTTTATCTTTCGTCTCTCTTCTCTCCTTCTTGCACCCTTTCTTCCTCTCTTCTCTTCTTTACTCGTAAGATACAAGTTGGAGCTGGTGGGTCATGGTAGAAAGCTAACATGGGAAGCAAAGCCTCGAAAGTATATATTCATACATGTACATTTATACATACATACATACACTTGAACTACCTTCCAGTCCCTTCGAACCTTCGAACAAGGGACACCATGAGACCGATGATTACTGTCCCTTGTAGGGAGGTCGTCCCTATCTCGGAGGTCAAATAATACACTAAAGTATTAGCATGGGGTTGAAACAAGTGTCCTTTGTAGAGAGGTCGTCCTCATCTCAGAGGGTCCCTTATCAGTGGTTCCACTGTATAAAGCATCATGTGCTAACTCCATGGCATACTTTCCTTTCTCAGCATCCACTGCAGTATATCAAGTGTCATTTGCAGCAACGATTGCCTAATATTCGAGACTGCAATGGCTTCTCATTTCGGAGACAATGGAAACCTTGCTATCAATGTCACAATCTACCAGACATCATATTATTGACAAATACCTGACATCTGTAACCATACTTCATATTACCATGTGTACAATGCCTTTGTTCAATCCTACTGTCTTTGTGTGTTGTATCATTCAGCTCTCTATGTGGTGTGTCTGTAATGATGTAGTTGAAGGTATATATATTTTATATACACCGTATAATTAAACGTACGTATGTGCGTCAAAAATCACGTGATCTGAACGCTACGCGCGCTAGTGCGCGCGTACACGTATGCGTTGGGTTTTATTTACTCATGCGCATGCACTTCAAGGAGTTCAGTGTCACTAGACTAGACATCCACACCTCAACACAGATTTGTGTCTACAAAATCCCTCCTCAGAGACCAGTAAGTAGGCTGTCAAAGCCAAACGATTTGCGTCATAGTATGTTCACATGTTCTGTGACTTTGCATTGCATTGTGTGGTCCTATGATGCACTATGAACCATACATCAGTATTTTTTTCTCTGTGCAGGTGGCTCCATCCTCAACCAGTGACAGCTCCGCAATTGCTAAGTCTAATGCTGCCAACAAAAGGTAGTAAAACATTTTGGTCCATCTTTGGTAAAGATTTAAACTGCACTCTTTTAGCAAGGAGCCAGGCCAAGTGTCGTCATTGGATGAGGACTATCCATTTGTTGAGGAGCCATCAGATGACTTCTTCTGTCCAGTGACAACTGGTGTTCTGCTCCATCCTCACCTCACATCATGCTGTGGTAATCATATCTCAGAGGAAGCTGCCATCAGAATACAGAGAGAGGGAGGGGCATGTCCGCTGTGCAAGGAGGAGGATTGGAGCTCGATGTTGGACAAATACTTCCAGCGTCAAGTGAACTCACTGCGTGTGTTCTGTCGCCACAAGGACAGAGGGTGTGGCTGGCAGGGAGAGCTGGCTGCCTTTCACCATCACGTGGAGTCTTGTTCCATGAGAGACGGTCCTCCCATGACTGAGCTAGTGAAACTGCCAGTGTAAGTCAATGATAGGTTCTGTCGGAGGTTTGGATTATGTCATAATTCCCTACAGATACAGAGAGGCTGGAGCCTTCCCTAGTTTGTCTGGAGCCACTTCTCCACACTCTTCTGCCTCTGGAACTATTTTACGAGTGAACGAGGTAATTTCTACAGCCAGTCCATTTTCAGGTCCCAGGTTTTAGTTGAGAATGGCACGAAGGTTATTGTGTGTCTATCCATTCACCATCCGTGCTGTGTAAAGATGCACTAGCAATGTAGCCGGTGCAAGTGGGCGTGAAAATGAGTTGCTGTGCTTGTCTTTGGATTAATGCTAGGATCCAAGGATGAGGTTCTGCAATCTTTTAGGATCATCCTAACCTATACAAGTGGTAAAATTAATTATTTTTACAAATGCATATAGGGATTGGGTCCAAACATGAAAAAGGAAAGAACTAGGGGTCATTACACAGCTAAGACACACAAAGCTATATACATGACACCATCCCTATATCTTTGTCTTATCATTTTTTGCTTGTTAAATAGCTTGCTGTTTGATATCCATTTTTTATTCATTGGCTATGAATCATATCCGTGAATATTGCTCTGTGTTTCCACCCTCTTTTGTCAGACCCAGCCTGCTCCCCTGGCAACAGCTGTACCCCATGCCATACCACCTGTAGTTAAACCACAAAAGGTAGGCAACATTAACATTGATAACTGTTGTGATAGAGTATTGCGAGGCCTTTAGAAATGCCTAGAAATTTACTGATTGTGTTGGTGTCTGGTTGTATGACGTATTCATACACTATACACTGTGGGATACCAGTGCACATACATACACTATGAGAGAAGATGCACAACTTCACTAAATGGTTACATCGCCATTAATATGCAGTGGTGTTCTCTGCCTTGTACGTTAGACGCATGCGCAGCGAGGGTTACGATACTTGGTCTGTGTGTGTGTGTCTGGTACTACAAGCTACGAAGCGGCCTATTTTAGTCCTAGAAGACCTCGACCTAGCCCGTTTGCTCTGTGTATCCTGAAGGCACAAGAAGTCACAACGAAGGGCATGTATCAACTCTAGCTATATAGCCCGTGCCTGACTCTCCGCGAGCTAGTAGCGGGAGAAACGCATACTGATAGCCCAGCCATCAATTAGCGGTATGGCGCATGTTACTTCGTGGTTTTCATTTCATATTTACAGGTAGACAGGCCTGAATTACACGATATTGAACCTCTGCACATTCCAGGAGTTGAGTTGAAGAGACTGAGGTAAGGCATAAAGATACTTTTGAGACTGTTGTTTGCTCTTTTATGCTCGGACTATCAGTGGTGTAAGGAATGTTACCGTAAAATACCCCGCTTTTTGGCTGGCTTGAATGACAAAATTTGAAGGGGGTATTGCACATTGTGTGTATGCGTGCGCACCTTACACACTTTTTCAAGCTATATACAACACGAGTACAGGATGACAGTTGCTAATGAACGCAGCGAATTCTCTGTTGGCAAATGCAATGTGTAGTAAAGCTAAAACATGCCAAACATCAGAGACCCAACTCACTGCACGAACCTTAATCACTACATATTTCAGGAACTCACTCTCTAGCTTTCCCAATAATTATCTCTCTCCCTCCCTCTCTTCGTATCTTCCGCTATCTACTAAGTATCTCAAACCAATCAGGGCCAGTTGCAAACCTGCTGCTGCTACTTTCGCCCTAATGAGTTTTTATTTGACCTTCTATTTTAGCGAAGCCAATTCTCCAAAAGGAGGGAAGATGTTAAAGTTGAAATACGAAGCGGGGTTGGTGGTCTGTCTGTTGATGACAAATTATATGTACTATTCGTTCACTGAAAACGAAGATAAAAAGTTTCTGCGCAAATGTGAACACAATGGGACTTTTGTTTGCGATGTATCCCTACCGAAATTTGTTCGTGGAATTGGAAAGGATAATAATGGTTTTCTATACGTTCTATGTTCCAGTACCAATTCAAAAGTGTTTAAATTTGATGAAGAACTGAATCCCAGTGCGAAAAACAATAGGAGCTGTGCAGAACATTTTGGTGTGGCGTATGGAATTTTGGTGACTGATGAACATGTTTTTGTTTGCGCACGCGTTAACCAAAAGGTATGCATTTTGGACTTGGACCTGAATCTTCAGTATTTCTTGAAATTATCTTTTACCCCATTGGAATTACGAAGCTTAATGACAAGTATTTCGTTACCACTACAGCTGCTATTGGAATCCTGGATATAGATATTGAAAATATGAAATTTAGAGTGAAAAATTGCGGGAAAATGAAGACTGGTCTTAGTACTGAACAGTTCAAACCTGGAATCGCATTCCGAGGAATATGTTCTGATAACCAATACTTATATGTGACAGAGAAAGATGAATCAAATGGAGGCCGCGTATTGTGTCTGCATTATCAAGAAAACCAGTTTATCCTCAAGTACGTCTGTCGAAATTCTTGTCAGGTTTGCCAGTCAAAGAAGTGCTGCCCGATTGTAATTGTTCACCATAATGGCACAATAATTTACAGTCAAGGAAGTTGGAATGCAAATTTCACATTCTAAGATTAGCATATGATGGAACAACAGCTACAAGTGAGACAATTATTGACGTAGTGTGAGTTATGTCAAACAGTGCTAGTTAACTGGTAGTTTTATTTTTTCTCTTGACCAATTGTACAATTATAGCTCAGATGCTATTACTAGAACGAATGCCATGCATTTTTGGCGGACAAGCGAGCGTGAACAGTTCAATACTTCCACATGTTTAGAATGACCATTACAGTATGTGCACTGCCACACGGGTTGTAAGTTTAATTCAGACGACTCCCTTCACTTGACAATAATTAACACAGCTGTCATGTGTGTCCCAGCAAGCAGGTGCAAATGTGGTATGGGTTAAATTATACGTTCTTACTCATACCCTCACTTTTACGAGGAAGTATACTGCGCATGCTGGTTAACAATTGGCTAAATATTTACAGAAACGTTCGCGAAAACGTTTCCCGGAGCGTGTCAACGAACGTTTACGTTTACCAACACCTCAAACGATTAGCTAAACATTTACACAAACGCTTCCAAGAGCGTGCGCAAAACAGGACGGTGTTACGTCAGAGTTTTGTCGGGTTTGGCGTTCCATATACATGTGCATACAAAATAGTACATCAGTTCATAGTCCAAGTTGTTAAGAAGGTTGACCGGCAACAATGGTATCAAACACTGCAAGGTGCCTGCACATGTACAGAAACAAAATACGATGAAAAGCACTGAAGTGCAAACCCTCGGCGCATTATGCATGCGGTGCACCGCTAAATTGATGGGCCTACCGTAACCCTTGCTGTGCATGCGCGCCGAGGGTTAATAACAACACTCCTTGACTGGCAAAACAGGCAATGCCCCCTAGTCACACTCATATGCACACACATAGAGAATTGCTTATGCATTTCTAGCAGCAACATCATAACAGCCTCTCTTAAGCCCCATAATTCGTGAAATACAGAGAGAATACGGAGGTAGGGCCGAGTCTGAGTGTCACTCAGAAGAGCAACACCAACCCCATGCAGAATCAAGCTTCCAATCGTTAAGCATGTAGTGTACGTAAGACACAACTTACTGAGGAGAGTCCTGCTCTATTCGACCTCTCAGAATGACGTGGCCAAGATACTGACTCAGCATAGTGAGACAGTCTGCAGCCGCTGCCTTCACCAGTGCACTGTCACTGGCCTAGGGGGAAAGTTTCGCAGGGAAAAATTAGTCAATTAGTAATGGCCCACTAGTTGGGCCACCCAAGGTCGGAAAACACGCCACATGAGAGAGAGAGAGAACTCACGGCTCCATAGAAAATGGTGTCGATGAAGAGCTCGAGATGTCTCTTGAAGGGTCTCTTCCCGAGGGCCCGGGCCAGGTGGGAGCCTGTGGAGGAGGGTCTCCAGGAGAGACAGGTGCCAGTCTTCTCCCAGGTTCCGCAGCGACTCTCTGGAAGTGGGTGTGTCCATACATCGCACCACTCTCCTCATCTGAGGAGCGCAGCGACCTCACACGAGTAAGCATCTGATCAACACAGACAAAACAACACAGCCACCTCACACTCTGACTATCTCCCATCGTCAGAAAGACACGAAGCGCGAAATCTGTATTCGTGGTCATAAGACTGCTTACGAGTAGCCAGCTCCACAAATATTTTAACAGAGAAAGTGTCCTGTAGTAGAGAGAGGAGATGGACGAGCGTCAGACCTGATTGGTCGTGTGTGTGGCGCGTCATCCAGGGGGATGTCATTCAGTCTCTGGACCACTCCAAACACCGCAGGTCTCGGGTCCAGTCCAGGGTGTCTGGGAGGACACAGAATTTACGTGTTTGGCTCTCACACATGATGTTGTAGACAATGCATGCATACATACAAAAAGAGTACAAGGGTTAAGAGCAACGTCCACTCAATTTGTTGGCAGCCGGAATACATGCTTACTAGTTGGCTCTCACACATGACGATGATGCAACGTGTACGAAACGTTCGCACCGCATATAGTCAACATGTTGTATACATGCATTGTCAGGCAACAGGGGAAAACCCTGGATAATCCCCTAACTCTTACGCCTACACCACACGGACATAGCCTATTATGGTCATGGAGCAGATGAGACAATCAACTCAATTCCTAACTGTGTTCGTACATTACGTGTGAATGTGATAGAGACAGGTAGAATATAGAACCTTTGTACCTGGAGTCAGTGAGAGGCTGGGTGGCAGCCAGAGGTATTCTCTCTCTGAGTACTGACATCACCTTCTCCTCCACCTCACTCCCTGTCATTACACACACACACACATGGGACAACACCTAATTGTAGTACACATTAGTACAGTGTTATACCATAGACGGAGACGAGAGTGGCGAGAGAGGAGGCAGCCCCCTGTCTGACGGAGGGCATGGAGTCCTCCAGACTGGAGAAGAAGAGAGGGAGGAGCTGAGGCAGAGTCGGTCGACACTCTTCGGGGAACGACGACATGAAGTTCCCACATGCCAGACATGCTGCTGCTCTTGTCAGTGGGTGGAGTCCATTGGTGCATGGGTATACATGGACAACAAAGACGTCAGTTTACTAAGACACATCACACACACACACTCACACAAACACGCACAAACACACACACACACACACACACACACACACACACACACACACTGGTGAGTACGATACACAGTCTTTGTGGTTGCTGTGTCAGTAGAGTACCACTCATGACAGGTAGTGAGAGACAGTAGTATTACCCACCATCTCGGACCAGCCAGCTGTCATCTCTGAAACACTGCAGAAGAACCTTCACCAGGTCTGGGATGTGAGGTCCCAGAACTCCAGGGGACACCTGGACACACACATACAACATTCATACTTGTAACATGATATACATAATCTTGGACAGTCTGTATTAGTAATGATGTGTCAGTTAAAATTTAAAAATTTGAATGGTGCCACTACATGTGAATCAAATCCCCCGTCGTTGTAAACGCATCATCACCCAGCCAGCATCAGCACATTCCTCATGTGTACCATGAATAAAACTCTGCATTCACTGTAAACAGCTCCCATACAATGCAGTACATGCATGTCCCTATTCAAAACCACTACAGTATGCTCTGTAAACACAGGGCTCTTATGTACACGTACCTTTGTGCCCAGCTCAGCAATACAGGCACATGCTGCCTCTCTCACTGCATGGTTGGCTGCCTCTGTCTGTGAGATATAGAACTCCACCACCTAGCAGACAGTGGGGCATGAATTCCTATAGCTAACACTACTACACGAGTCATGATTCTGTGTATATGTACCTGTGCAATGTATTTCTCAACAAGTTGAACTCCTTTCATTTCTGTGACTAATTTCCACGTCTCCTGGCAGTACAGCCTCACACCTTCAGCTACATAATGCCTGGGGACCACACCCACAGTGGTATGGAGGTAAACTGACGCTTTGTTCAACATGACTTGGAGTGTATTATGCATACCCATGTGTATATAGTATGTACCTGTTGAGGCAGAGGGGAGGTAGGAGGGATGGAAAGTAAGGTTCTCTTGCCTCAAGAGATGGCAGCTGAGTCAGGAACACTCGTGTCGCCACTGAGGATGACATCCTCACCTACAATAGAGTACATCACACTCAATAGAACAGCTACACACACAATTTGTATGTATACAGAAGGCCAAATAGTATATACACACAATTGGTGCAAAAGGCCGAATGTAATAATACCTGACTCCAATTATCAGAGAGACCTTTGGCCAAGTTTCTGGTAATGTCAGGCCAAAAGGCTGACACACTGGCAGTAGACAACCCTAGTAGATGCCCACCATAGAATCATGAAGTGTAATCATTAGTCATGTTTGCACACTAGCACACACACACAGTGCAGTACCCACCAGGAATGGAGATGAAGGCGGCGATGACTCTGTAGCCAGTCTCTCTAACAAACCTGTTGGTGTGACTCAGACATGTGAACACCAGCTGGAGGAGGTCAGAGGTCAGATGTGGCTCAAAGGCAATGCCACACCTCTCCACCACATGCTGTAGTGCCCTGCAATGACCACACACACATACACCCCTTCGTACATCAAGAGAAGTACAAAACAGCTAAGCACTGAAAATAACTTCAGGTTGTATGTATAGACATAGCACAGAGTCTCCACACAGTTCATGCAAAAATTGTGCATACATAATGTACTGTAGGTTTCTAATAGCAGTTGACATGATGATGTTTAAAAAGCCACTGAAAGAGAGACCCGCTCAGTTAGAATGAACAGACTAACGTCATGTATGTCTCGAGGTGTCTCCAGCCTGCGGTGTCATGAAATACCTCAGCTGCTGTGGGAGATCCAGCCTGGGTGTAGCAGAGAAGGCAAGATGCATGGCCTGCTTCATCATGACTTATTGCACCCAATTACAGGTTAGCAGTATTCATGAACTGGGTAATGAATGCCACATTGGACAACCACATACACACGGTGTAATTACAGACGCAACCCAAATAACTTACTCTCTCTGTTCTGTCTTCGGTGTGGCTATTCTCAGCAGAGGAGGAGGAGGATTGGTTCAGTTTCTGGGTCAGTTGAGTGTCAACCTCTCCACTGTCTCGCTCCAGGTTACCCTCTATTCCTCCAGTGATGTAGGGTAGCACCTCCCTACACACACCCTCACCCCCCACAGCACACAGGACACCTGCCACCTCACCTGGTGGAGCGTAAGGCACACTCTGTTTATCAACCACACGACACACCATGTAATACTGGAACACTCCCGAGGGAGAAAGTTCTAGCTTGTTTCGCATTTCTAAGCCGTCCGTGAAAGGGTTGACGTGGCTCACCAGCAGCAAGTCTCACTCTAGATTCATCATATTCCAATAGCAAAGGGACCTCCCCCTCATCCTCTCCATGAGTTGAGGTGATGCTCCAGGAAGGAGGACTGTTGATGCCATGAGACCGCCATGTTTGGCCTCCCAGGGAGAGGTCAGAGAGGTCACCAGTTCAGAGACCACTCTCTCACCCTCCTTCCTCTCCTCCTCCCCCAGCCTACCCTCATTCACTGACTCCTTGAGCTGCTGCAGACCTTTCTCACGGTCTAGTCGCTTCTTACTCTGCACCAGGGCCAGCCATGGGATGTGCAGGGACGACATAACACGAGGGCGTGGGGTCTTGAAAATTACGCGCAGAATCCTCAGTGCGCATGCGCAGCGTTATGTTTAGCTAGCTGGCGCAGTAAGTGATCTCAGTCTTGTCTATAATGGCTACCGTAAGATTTTTCTCTATTGCCTTTCTGATGGTGCTATCGCCGCCCGAGAGAATAGTCGTGAATTGTGACAGCGATAATTGTGACATGAGCGGCAATGGTGAGTGCTCAATGTGTTTAGCTACGTAGCTACATCTGTGTTTTTCATTACGTTCTGTCGGGCAGAAATAGCAGGCAAACTCTACGTATATACAGAAACCAGGCATTCCTCAGAGAAATTGGGTCACCAGCAGTCGATCAACGCGCACGCAGTTCTGTTGCGCCGAGTGTAGAGTAACTGTATATACATGTTATTTTCTCCGTTCCCGCAGTTTCCCTCTCTTCGACTCGTCAGGAATTTTGTCCTTCCCAACCGGTAACTGTTCAATGCAACGTAACGCAACCTTTACTTTTATGGGCGTGTCAAGAGGCTTCTGATGAGATAAGAGTTTTCTGTGATCCTGGACCGGTGGCTCAGACTATCAGTTGCCCATTCGGAGAGATCAATGGCGCCGAAGTTGACTGCATTTGCAATCGAACAGTCATCAAATCTGAAATCACCTTCAACACTACTTCAATGTGCGATATGAAGCTGTTTTGCATTAATGGAGGTGCAGAGAGGCAACACGTTTCCGTCACAATAGATGGTATGTGTATACAGCATGCATTCTGATAAACAATTTATTTCTGATGTATTAGGTCTTAATGCTCCAGTGTTGTTAGATAATTATACCATGGTTAAAATGGACAATGGAACTTATAAAGTGACAGTGTGGTGGACAAAGGGTACCTGTGCCCCTGATGATGTTGAATACAATCTCACACTTACTAACACATCCTCTGAAGAAGCCGTAAATAATGTTACGAAACAAACACAAACAACACTGTATCTTAATCCGGGCATTGAATATGTTATTGCTGTCAGCGCTCAACTATGTGATGGTGATTTGAAGAGTGAAACAAGCAACGAACTCCCTCTTTACATTCCCGGTATGGCTTGCACTATAATCAAAGTATATACATACAAATTAAGGCTTTGGTAATAAAATTTTCAGCACTTTTTAGATTACATTTGCATTGGTGAGCACACAAAATATCACTATGTGACGTTTAACTTGTAAGCCTGCAAGTTCACCAATCTGTGAAACCATTAGTGGCAACACTATCACTACTATCCCTATATAGAAATTCTGACTTTCACTTGTTCATAAGGCTTAGTCTCTTAGCTATAATTCTCACCTTTTCCTACAGGCACACCAACTACCATTACACCGGGAGCAACAAGTAAGCCACCCTAGTAAAAATATCCTTGCCTACATACTATAGTTAGCTATATACTCTAAATGTAGACTTGCTGTGAGCAGTGCCTTCACATGGGCATCAATGTGAAGATTAACTTGGATTAGCTACCTAATGACTCCACAGTAACATGAGAGTACTGGGAGGCCGCTTGTGTGATGGTTTTACATAACTGTGTATAATATTAGCTACCTCAGGAAAATTTAGTGCATTAACCCATAGACTTGGATGATGTATGGGCATGTCTATCACATCAAAGGGGGAAAACTAACTCTGCTCGTTAAAAATATGTAAACTTGTGCTCACACTATTTCATGGGTCACATGGGTAGAAAGTGTATTATAACAAATGCCATTGATTTCCCTTCAGTGACTTCTAATCCTGCTGAATCAAATAACAGTAAGTTCATACATTTTGTTTGCCTTTTTGTGTCTGAGGTTTGCAGATTGTTGTTTGTGATGACTTCTGAAGTATTTACACAATGACTATAATTTAGATTCAGCTTAGCTACCCCTACAAGAGTAACCAACGATTAACTTTTTTTTATCACTGCAGCTGCTGCAATTGTTGGTAGTACTATATCAGTTATTGTACTTTTATTGCTGCTTGGAGTGGTTGTCTTTTTTATTTGGGTAAGTAGCATAATTTTTGTGGGCAATACATTTTTATCTCTCTCTCTCTTAATATAGTATTTCTGGATATGGAGGAAGAAAGGAAGAGAAGAGGTATGTTAGAATTGCTGTTGCTATGTAGCAAAATCTAATTACCTACTCTCATGGCCGCAGTAGCAATCATTTCACTTTTGCACATCTGTATTGCACATGTTCACAAATAGTCAGCAGCGCATGTACACGGTTTGTACACACGATCTCCACCTGTGCACTGTCAGACTGGCATTCCACAGAACTTCAGCTACTTTCTTTGGGAGTGTTTCATCTCGTTGTAACACATGTGCAGCAATTCTCCTACCCCAATTTTTAGCCTACCTTTTTACACATGCATGCGGCGGCCTACGAGGTTGAGTACGATCTATTCAAAGGGCTGCCTTGCTGTTAGAGCATCAGTTTGATGGTCACAGCATTTACACTATAGTAAAAATAATGGAAACAAGTGGAAAAATCATTTCTTCAAAATGAAGAGGGGTATAGGGATGGCTCAAAGCACCGAAAAGGAGGAACAAGGGTTTGTTAAAATGCAAAGACACACAAAGCCACATGATACCATCCTTATAATTATCTTTGTCATTATAATTATATAGACTCATAGAAATAAAGATATAGGGATAGCTTTGTGTGTTTTTGCGTTTTAACAAACCCTTGTTCATTCTTTTTCTGTTCTTCGAGCCTTCCCATCCCCCGTTATCATGAAGAAATGATTTTCAACTTGAATTTAATCCACTTGAGTAATTAACATTGTCCTCTATTATGTGTAGGTTGATTCACCTGCTATAAGGATGCTTTCTGCTATAAAGAGAAGTGGTGTTGCTGGACTGTATGTTGATACTAACCATATTTACTACTCATGTACAGAAATAAATGAAACAAGTGAAAAGAAATACATGCTAAGGAAATGCAATTATAATGGAGAATTGGTTAAATATTATCGTTGCAACAGCTTCGTCCGTGGTATTGGACAGAGTCATGGTTTCATATACGTTTTATGTTCCGGAGCTGATTCACAAGTTGTTAAGTTGAACAGGAATTTAAATCATGTTGGGAAAGAGACAAGTGATAAATGTGGTGAATATTTTGGTGAAGCATTTGGAATGCTTGTGACTTCAGACAACGTGCTTGTTTGTTCAGAGAGAAATGAACAAATATGTGTTTTGAATCTGAACCTTGAATTTTGCTATAATTTGGAACTAAAGCTTGGTCCAGTTGGAATTGCAACATTTCAAAACCATTACATCGTTACAGCAAAGGCGACTATTGGAATAATAGATATTGACTTTGATAAAAAGGCTTTGAAAAGGGTTGATGTATTTGAAAGTATGACTAAGGAGGGAGTCAGCACACCCTTCAATCAAAGCATTATATTTCGAGGAGTATGTTGCAGTGATAAATACATATATGTGACTCAGAAACAGCAACATGGTCCTGGATTACCCATGCTATGCTTGCAGTTTGATGAAAAAACACATAAGCTCAATTACATCTGTGAAGTTACTGATTTCTCGAGAAACTGTGATGAATTAATTGAAAGGTGTGGTCCTGTCGTTCCTTTCTACCACAATAACACCATATTCTACAGTCAAGGAAGCTATGGAATAAAATTTCACATTATGAAGGCTACCCATAACCCAGGGGAGCCTATTGCAAGCAACAAAATGTTTGATGTTCTGTAAACTTTTCTTTAGACCAAGCAGTTCTTTGTTTAGCCCTTTAGTTTTTTGTACACTTGTAATACGCTCTTCAGAGTGAACCCGCAATATATTTCGCTTCAGGTCCCTCACACTACCAGTGCCCGTCAGCGCACTTCGCATGCGCGGTACAAGTGGAATAATCATTTCTTCAAAATGAAAGGGGGATATAGGAATGGCTTGAAGCACCAAAAAGGAAGAAACAAGGGGTCATTACACAGCAAAGTTGCACAAAGCTACATGGCACCATCCCTGTTCAATATTAAACTTTGCTTATAAAATAACAAAGATATAGGGATGGTGTCATGTAGCTTTGTACCTTGCTGTGTAATGACCCCTTGTTTCTTCCTTTTTGGTGCTTCAAGCCATCCCTATATTCCCCTTTCATTTTGAAGAAATGATTTTTCCTCTTGTTTCCACTATTTTTAACAGCTTATGACAACACTGCGTGAATTGTGACTGCTATAGTAGTGGCAATGGTGAGTGTGAACAAGTATATATAGCTATCTAGCTAAGAATGCTGTGACAGACATTATAACAAGTGGAAAAATCATTTCTTCAAAATGAAGGGGTGATATAGGGATGGCTTGAAGCACCAAAAAGGAAGAAACAAGGGGTCATTACACAGCAAAGATGCACCAAGCTACATGACACCATCCCTATATCTTTGTCTCATAGTAAACTTTACTTGTGAACTATTTATAACACAAAGATATAGGGATGGTGTCATGTAGCTTGGTGCATCCTTGCTGTGTAATGACCCCTTGTTTCTTCCTTTTTGATGCTTCAAGCCATCCCTATATCACCCCTTCATTCTGAAGAAAAGATTTTTCCACTTGTTTCTACTATTTTCCATGCCTTCTGCGTTTTCAGTCACTCTGATCTTTGTAGAGATAACTGTTGAAAGCAGAAGCTAATGTAAGTTACCTGAAGCAGGGTGTATGCGTAGTGTCTCCAACAACGATGCAATTAGGTTGTGGCACATAATTATGTTGGGGTGGTTTCGTAGGCAGGCTTCAGTAATCAGACTACAATGAGAGCTATAACCTGGGGGACAAACAATGAAGGCGGTGGGCAAGGCCGGCGTAATACTGCCAAGTTGCTCCTCGTACAAATCAACATCAAAACGTAAGCTAGCCAGTTAAAAATGTGTATACTGACTTACAGAAGGCACTGGAGGATAAGAGTTCCTCTGCAGGCATCCTGACTTAGTTTCGTAGACCTGGTTCACGCACGAGACTATAGTAATGCGCGCGCACCGCGCGCATTGGGGAAACGCCCTCCTCGGCGCATGCGGCGGCCGGCTCACTGATGCAGCAAATGGCGTTGTCCAGTGACTACTGTGGAAGAGCTCAGCGATCTACCGTAGTGACTTGCGGCAAAAAAGAAGCGATCGCTTGATATGCGTGCACACCTCCGGAAAAATTTGGAGACGTTCTGTGAAAAAATCAACGCTTCAACTGCTTCCGGTAAGGAGCTAGCGGGTCTGAAGAAGAAGAAGAAGAAGAAGAAGTATGATGATGATGACACGAAAATCGCGAAATCGCGTAAGTGCGATTCTCTCGTGGGGAACTGAGGGCACGTAGGAAGTCTTGGGGCATATGTATAGCTAGGTATTGGCTCTAGACATTGCTAGTGATTTTGAAGCCATGGTGAGTCAGCATTGTCGCTGAGTTTTGAGGCGTTTTGTACGTGATCACGTGAGATTTCACTCGTGTCATCCCTATATA